AAAAAGAGCTATGAGAAGAAACAAGGGAATTAAGAGGGTTAAAAAAAAGGCAAGCAAAAAATTTTTTTTTAATCATCACTAATTAAAACAATATGAATGTTAACATATTTGATCATCGTAAAAGCTTTGCCAACCAACACTTACTGATACCATGAACCCCTATGCTGAGAACAGGATGAAGCAGTGTGTCCTTAGGGGCTTTACACTGGCAGCCTGGATCATGGAGTTTTTGGTTTTTTTTAATCCTCACCCAAGGATATTTTCCCACTGATTTTCAGAGTGAGTAGAAGAGAGAGGGAAAGACAGAAAATACCGATGTGAGAGAAACACATCCATTGGTTGCCTCCTACACAAGCCCTACCAGGGCCGGGGCTGGGGAGGAGCCTGCAACTGAGGTACACGCCCTTGACCAGAATGGAACCCGGTACCCTTCAGTCCACAGGCCGATGCTCTATCCACTGGGCCAGGAGTTTTCATAAATTAAAAATCCCTGTACAAGGAAAAGGTACTAGATGCCTACTGCAATACTCAACCACTGAGCCACGCCGGCCGGGCTCCTATTAGCTCTTTATATGTAGCTTAGCTCCGGACAAACTGAACTATGCTTATCCTCTGAGCACGGCTGGCATTCCTATTTCTATGTGTTTTCCCAGGCTGTTTTTTTCAACTATACCTTTTCCCTATCTACCTTCTACTCATAGATTTCAAATGGCACTTGTTCAATGAAGGCCTCCCCCATCCTTCTTATGAGACCAGGCATCTTTGCACTTCCGTGCCAGTTTGTTTTATAGCTCTTACAACACTTAACATTTTTGCCATCTTATTCTATCCACTCATTCCTTCCTCCTAATTGTAAACTACCTGTGAGATTGTCTTATTCATTTTTCTATTCATCTGTATAGCGCTTTGAACACAGTAGGTTCTCAAATATCTGAAATTATAAAAATACGGGTCACAAAATACAGCTCAGAATCGCAGCTTGTAAAATTCCTACAAAACAGACTAATCTGAAAATAGGAACCAGTAAATACAGATCAACTATTTTCACGTCATAATTCCAAGTACTGATTCACTTTTTTAAATGTGTGTAGCCTTCTGAGTCTTCAGCTTTTCACACTAATTTCTTAAATCACCAATATTTATTTATTTCTAAAATAATATGAAACAAAAACATATGGCTAACCACAATAAGGTGCTTGTTAAAAATATTTGGGCCGTATCGTAGAGGACATTACCACTATAGTTCTGTCTTGATACTGACCTTCGCTCAAACATTCTCAGGGAGTAAAGCTTACAGGTACATCCCAACGCAATGACGAGCAGCAGGCCGCAGATGAGGCTGCCGATGACGGCCGCGGTTATGACCCGGGTGGGCACAATCACCGGGCAGTTCTCCTCATCGCTGCCGTCGCCGCAGTCATCCTGAGAATCACACACCCAGCTCTCAAACACACAGCGATTGTTTTTACAGTGAAAATTCCCAGGCTGGCAAAAGAAGCAGTTTTTTTCGTCCGAGCCATTCGGGCAGTGATTCTGGTAGTTGCAGCGATCAGAACGAGGGTAACAGACACCGTTTCGGGAACACGGGAACTCCTCCTTCTGGCACATGGTACAGTTGACTTCATCCCTGCCATTGGGGCAATGCCAATACCCATCACAGCGCTGCTGCTCAGTGTAGCACCCCCAGTTACCCCCGCAGGGTATCTCCCAGGGCAAACAGAAGCCGTCTACTTGGTAAGTGGCGTTAAAGCCCCTCGCAGCATTCACTTTATCCGCACAGAAATGTACCCGTATCTGTCCGGAGGAAGAAACCACTGTAAGAGGCGCATGAGAATCAAAGGCAGTCAGCACACGCAAGAGCTTGTGCGGGTTCTCCTCTAATCCATCGTATATTTTGACATAATCACCATAGCCAGTACCATCAAGTTTAAAGTCTGTGAAGCGTAGAATGACTTTGCGATGATCGCCAGTGTCTATTAACCAGGTGCAGTTGCTTCCAGGAGGATAAAAGTCTGGGTAATTGGGAGAATTAAAAGTACCATAAAAGTATTTCAGCCACTGCCCACAAGTTGGCACATCACAGTCTATTTCGTCTCCGAGGTCAAGGCAGTCAATGTTCCCGTCACATTTCAAAGACTCGGGGAGGCAAGTGTAAACTTTGGTAAACCGAGACAGACACTGGAACTGGTTGTAAGCACAGGGTTGGAAAGCAGCGGGTGTGGGAGCGTTAGCTTCTGTAGCACAGATCTCCTCATCGGAACCATCTCCGCACTCATCCATGCTGTTGCATTTCCAGGCTTCCGGGATACACTTCCCATTTCCGCAGCGGAACTGATCGCAAGCACAGTGTGGCTCCTCAGACTTCCCTGGGAGAACATGGGAGGGACGGAGGGAGCAGAGAGGTAAGGAGAAAAAAACATGCTCTTTAAAATAAAAAATATGTAAAGGCGAGTGATAATATTTATAATAAATGTTGAGTAAGCCCAAGTGAAAGGGTTTCAAAAATCTTGTTTTAAAAAGTAGGTTAAGCTCTAATGGCAAATTAATATTAGCTCACTAATTACTCAGCAATTTATTAAAAACTTATGATTTGTTCCATAAAGATCTTTGTGGTTTGATCTTAAAGAGAAGAAACCAATTCTGTTTTTACAGAAAGCTATTTTACTGCAGAACATCCAGTAAAATGATTTAAGACACATAAACCAACAGGATATATTGCCTAAAAATTTTAAATAACCTATTGCATAAACATTGAAATGACAGACATTTTGAAATAAAGAGAAATTCATCCACAGGAATCACCTTTCAAAACAATTTTCTCATATTTTTTTTTAGGTGTTTATATAGGTAACACAATATTTTGCTATGTATATTATAGTTTTTTTAAGGCCCATTATTAACTTAAATTTTTGCTAAGATTATATGATCAACTTTATGTTTATAGCATTTCATGTAATCATAACACAGCACTTCCATTCTATAAGTTCTATTGTTTTAACATAACTGCAAAATATTGCATGAATCTGAGATAAAGGTATAAACTTAATCATCATAACAGGGGGAAGGAGACAGAAAAAAATGAAAATGCTCATCTAATTCTAACTATCTTAGTGTACCGTCCTGAATATAAAACGAGGTAGAGAAAGAAAACCAAACATTAGATCTCTACAGTCCCAAAATTGACAATGTTGGGCCAATGCTAACATCTCCATTAACAACTTGTTTATTGGTGAATAGATGACAGAAAATGTGCTTCAGAACCTAAATAGTACAAAGACTATGTTTTTAAGAAAAAAAAAATCAACATATGTTTGCTAAAAAAGGCCGTGTGCCTCAGAAGATGTAAAATTATTTCAGCAAAAAATATACATAGCTCCACTGCTGAGTTCTTCACATTTGCATGACCTGGTCGCTCTTTTTGGATACAGTTTGAAAATAGCCAATACACTATAAACCATCAGGGTGAATCTGAGTGTGTCTTTTTGTAAAGACAATGGTAATTCACAAACAAAAGTGTATTCTGAAGTAACTTTCAGGATATGGGGAAGTAGAGAAAGGAGAAAAAGTTCTTTCAAACGAAATGTATTTAAAATATTTAAAAGCAAAGTGGCCTTTGTTTATAAAATTAATCATTTCATTAGGATGATACAAAACACCTTTTTAGGGCCCAGTTCTAGGGCCCCTGGACCTTTAGCTGCTAACTCCTCCCTCACAGCTGCCTGGAGAACAGTCTCAATGAAATGAACACTGCCGGAAGACTGGCACCCAAGTGCCTGAGCAGTTACTACTGTCGAATTCTGTTCAGCACCTTTCTCCTTCTTAGAAACACACCTGAAAAGTATGCCAGTCTGAAACCCTTCCGAGAGACACTGTCATCGGAGTGGAACCGGATCCAGACGTGGTCTTGTGAAGAAATGTAGGGTGGTGGGATTGTGGAGCCACAAGCTCGGTAGCTCTCAATATTCTTGTATGTTTCTATTGTCAACCAGTCCAAACTGCATCTTCTGGACCCCTGAATGTCAAAATCCTGAAAACTACAAAACACACAAGAAAGTCAGAAAAGGCTATTAGGTAGGGTAATTATAATACAACTAGAGGCCTGGTGCATGAAATTCATGCATGGGAAGGGTCCCTAGGCCTGGCCAGCGATCAGGGCCGATCGGGGCCTTCTGGTTGCCGACCTGGGCCTCCCTTCTCCAGCTGCTGGCCGGGGCCCTCTTTTGTTCTGCGCCATGCACACCCTGGTGGTCAGCGCATGTCATGGTGAGCGATCAAACTCCTGGTCGAACTCCCAAGGGGACGATTAGCATATTAGGCTTTTATATATATAAATGTATAATCTCCTTGGTTTTCCAGACATACAACTATATCATCTACACTAATAAAAGAAAAACATGCAAATTGGTGTCACTCTGCTAAAGCCACCAGCCAATCAGAGTGAGTGCAAATTAACCCAAAAAAGATGGCAGTTAATTTGCATACGCAGGCT